GTCACCTGCATTCAGGGGGTCTAGTTCAGTCCTAAGAAGGTTCCCCTGCTGTCAGTCCAGAGTCAATGAGCTCTCACTAGCTTGGGTCAGTTGTTTCTGTGGATTTCCCCATTATGGTCTTGACCCTTTTGCTCATATTGTCACTTCTCCCTCTCTTTGACTAGATTCCAGGATCTAGGCCAGTGGTTAGCTGTGGATCTCTGCATCTGCTTCCATCAGTTACTGGATGAAGAAGGTTCTTTGATGACAATTATGGTAGTCCTCAAATCTGTTTACAGGGAAGGCCAGTTCAGGCATCCTCTGCATTATTGCTTAGAGTTTTATCTGGGGTCATCCTTGTATATTCTTGGGAATTTCACTAGTTCCAGGTTTCTCACTAATCCCAAAATGGTTCCCTCTATCAAGATATTCTTTCCTTGCTCTCCCTCTTTGTTTGTCCCCCAAGAAAAGCTACTTTTATATATCAGCAGTGACACCTTCTGTGGCCTGAGTCAACGGCTCCATTCTTTTGCAACCTTTTCCTAAGAATCACTTTCCCAAAGAACCAAGAACCATGCCTTCTCCCTGCTTGTGTCTGAAAACAGTGGAGCTGGCAGGTGAGGTCCCACAGGCTGAGCACCAGGGTTCTATGGACTCTGAAGAGTCCTAGGCCTCCCACCCTCCTTCAAATCCATCCTTTTCTTGCCTGTTCTGATGTAGTATTTGCAGAAGAATGTCCCTCATCCAGTTCAGTTAAATAAAAAAGTTGATGAGGGACTTGTTTCCTTCCAGCCTGGCCCAAGTGCTTGGTGAAGGACACGAGTCTTCCTCGTGAGGTCACTGCTGCCTGACATCTTAGCAGCTGAACGGGGACCAGGAGACAAAGGATCCTGAGAGCAAGGGGGTTGGGCAATTCCCTGGCCAGGGCCAGCAAAGTGTTTGTAGTATCTCCAGGGTCTGCTCAGTATGTCTCAGGGTGGCTACAAGTGAATCAGACAATGTCACACGTGTATGGAGTGCTCAGTGCAGTGCGCTGCATGGTGAGTGCCCCTGTGTGTTAGCGGCAGAGACGACAGCACATGAGGATCTGAGACAGGACTTGAGGGGATGTAACTAGAGGTAAGTACAGCAGGGAAAGTTTGAGGGGGGTGGACAGACAGACAGAGGGTAGTGATCATGAAGAGGACATACCTTCTCTGGAGAAACGTTTTTGGTCCTAACCTGGGAATCACCCCTCCTCTGTGATCTCCGAGCCCTTTGTCATCTGGTCACCATTCAGCTGCTAAGAATAGTCTATCAGTCTGATAACTAGTTTATTTATTGGATAGTTGCTATAACTATATAGTTCAAAGTAAAAAGCATAAGCACCCTCCTGGCTTATGGTCAGAGCGCCTCAGGGTTTCTGTGTGTTTAGTGAGGTCATATTCTCCCCGGAGGGAGGCTGTGAGTCAGCATCAGAAATCTTAGTTCTCAAGCTTGTCTGCCAGCCCCTTGTACCTCCATCCATATCATACTCTTGGTCCTCTTTTTCTACTAAACCAGGGAACTACACCACCATTTCCAGTTCCATTCTATGACTGGGCCTTGCTTTCTTTCCTCTGCCCTGACTTTACTCGCTCATTATCCTATACATAGCTCTTCTATCAGGCTGGGTTTAAACAATTATATGTGTCAGGGGCTGGAGAGCTGGCTTAGCAGTTCAGGGAACTTGCTACTCTTACAGAGGATCTGGGTTTGATTCCCAGTACCCAGGTGGTGGGCTCATATATGTATAAAATCTATTGGGTCCATCTAATGTTGCTAATATGTACATGTGTTTAGGGGATGACCACTTGGGCCTGGACAACCTATCAGGGGGCTCATCTCTGGAGAAATCTGATTCTCCATCTCTCGGAAGCCATTGATTGCCCGTAGCTGTTCATCTAGGAGTATGTTTGATATTCATATTGTGCCCTATTTGAGCAGTGGGAACCATTTCAAGCTAGTATTAAGTCTTGTGAACATTTATTTATTTATTTATTTATTTATTTATTTATTGTATATAAAATGATCCAAGCTCATCTTATATCTTCTCTAGACTCAGTCATTTCCCATGAACTCCTGGGTCTTCTAACAGTGCACCGTGCCAGGACCAGGTGTGCTGATTTGCCCGGAGCCTTGCTGCTTTCAGGCCTCTCTACCTTCTTCTGTGTCCCTTCCCTCTCTCCTTCTTGGTCCTCTTTTTCTACTAAATCAGGGAACTACACCACCATTTCCAGTTCCATTCTAAGACTGGGCCTTGCTTTCTTTCCTCTCATCTTTATACCTGTTTTCTTTGTCATCAGGGGAGCTGCCCCTGTTGTCCACATGTGGTTAGTTATTCAGCCTAGGGATGTAGTCGGCCGCTGGCCTTCCACAGCCACATGCCCTGGTTTCATTTTAGAAGCCGTCCTGGTATTAGCCACCTCTGATCAGCTATTTGCGTCCTGTTGGTCAGAACTCGGTCAATAACCTGTCTTATTACAAAGGAGGCTAAGAATCATTTCTGTACTGTGCCTAGGTGAAAGCAGGAAATAGTTTGGACGATAGCTGGCCAATGTCGGCCACACACATAGATGCTATTTCCAGACTCTGATTAATCATTGCATTCACTGGAGAGCTTTCTTATCAGTACACAAAGAACATCCTCATTCCTTTGGAAAAAAAATTGGGTGCATGCCATTTTCTTTCTATTATATTTTTGTTCCATATGCATGCATATGTGAACCTGCAGATACCAGGTTTCATCCGTGGAGGTCAGAGAACAACTTGCGGGAGTCACTTTTCTCTTTTCATCATGTGCGTTCTGGGGATCAAACTCAGGTCATCAGATCTGGCTGCAAGCATCCTTACCCACTGATTCATCTCACCGGCCCTGGTATTCTGTTTTCTACGTGTGCCAGTTTTAAAACAGTTCCTACTAGATGGGCACTTGGATTAATTGTTGGCATGCTGGAGTATATAACCTTCCATAGACAGGAATTACTCAGTAATTTGATACATTTGGTAAACGGGGAGGTCCTGAGGATTGAACCCAGGTCATCATGCACACTAGGCAAGTGCTTTACCACTAAGCTATATCTCTGCCCAAATTATCCTCCTTTGAAAACACTTCTCTTATTAAGAGTTAAGCTCATTATCCTTTTATTGGTCATTTATATTTATTTTTATATCTCTTCATCCATTTCCTTTTTGATCTTTTGATTTATAGGATGATGAGATTTTTGCTATGATATGAGTTGAATGTGTTTTCCCTAGTTTATTATCTTTGGAGTTTATATCTGTTGTATCTTACTTGCAGTAATTTTTATGTAATTGAGTTTTCTTTCCTTTGGGGGCATATAGGTTTTGAATGGACGAACTAGGTCAGGGGCAGCAGGCAGGATGGAGAGAAGGGTGTATTTATCTCCTACAAAGCGATACATCCATGTGCAGGGGGAGTGAGAGATAGAATGAGGGAAACTGAGGCTTCTGCTAGCCTGTAATGATGTTCCCTCTGTTTCAGATGGTTTGGGCTAATGCTGGGCCTAAGAAGTAGAATAGACACTTCCTAAGCAAGAGGCCTAGCTAGTCCCCTGATAGTGGTTCCCATGTACCACTGAAAGGTGTAGGCGTTCAAAAACTGTCTAGGACAGGAGCTAGTCAAGATAATGCAAGAACTTAAAACTACCATTCCTGGCCCGGAGAGATGGATGGCTCAGCAGTTAAGAGCATGTACTTCCAGAGGGCCAGAGTTTGATTCCCAGCACCTGCATCTTGTAGCTAACAACTATCTGAACTCTGGCTCCAGGGAAATCTGATTTCTCTGGCCTCACTCATGTGTACATACTTATGCACACCTATACACACAATTAAAAATTTAACTCTAAAACAATAAAATAACATTCCAGAAAGAAAAGGAGCTATCAGAGACAATGGAGGTTGGTTTAGAGGAAGAAATAAATTTGAGGAAGCTGAGGTGAGATGATTTGACACAAATAAAAGTACTCAGTGAAATGGACAGAAATGTGCGAACATTGTTAAAGGCCACAAGTTCATTGTAAAAACAAAAATTAGCTTATAGGTCTCTTTGTATGGCTGTAGATCGACAACAGGAACAAACTGTGGGGGAATATATGGATAATTCTATCTACCTTTCCTACAAGAACTGTACTGGAAGAGAATCGTGACCTGGAGTGATGAGAAAAGGCTTCTCTTTGGAGGAATCCGAGTGGTTAAATGCAGATGTTAATACTTGCACAACCACTTCATAAACCTTTTATAAGCCAATGAACCTAACTATGGGTGTCAGTTTGTACACTGCAAATATGTATTGTTCGCATTGTTAATAAAAAGCTGATTGGCCAATAGCTAAACAGGAAGCTGGGACAATCAAACCAGGGATGCTGGGATGAAGAAGGGTGGAGTCAGGGAGTCACTGGCAGATGTAGAGAGAGCAAGATGGGGACTCCATACTGAGAAAAGATACCAACCACATGGCAAAGCATAGATAAGAAAGAGGAGTTAATTTAAGTATAAGAGTTAGCTAGTAATCAAGTTAGCTATCGGCCAAGCATTTATAATTTATATTAAGTCTCCAAGTCAGTTATTTAGGAAGCAGCTTCTGGTTATTTGGGAGCAGGCATATGTGACAGGAAAATGCCACCTACAGTCAGTGTCCACAGGCATCACAGAATCAGACTAAACATTATGGGCCTGCTAGTGGTGCCTACGCCATGAAGGAGTTATGTTCTGAATTGCATCTCCTGTTCTAGGCTTATGGCTCTATTATATTACAGGAAATATTTAGGACATTAGAATTTTTAAAACAAAAACATAGTTCTCACCTCAAAGGGAACAGAATTTATTCTAGAAGCAAATGTGAGAAACTAACCGTGGCTCAGGGACACAGATTCAAGTTATCCCAAATAACAGTTTTATGAAGTTTTTATAGTAACCATGTTCTGTTAGGAAAGCCATAAATTAAGATGAATATTCTTAATATCTCTTATTTGTTTGCTTACTTATGAGTCTGTGGGTATGCATCTGTGTACATATCAGAATAGGACTTGCAGGAGTCAGTTCTCTCCCTCCAGCCTGTGGGTCTCAGCGATGGAACTCAGATCTTCAGGCTTGGCAGCAGTCACCTTTATCCACTAAGCCATCTTGTAGGTCCTAAATCAAGACATTTAAAATATTGATTTATTTTTATTTCATGAGCATGGATGTTTTTGCACCTGTGTGTATCTGTGCATCATGCATGCAATGCCTGCGGAAGTCGTTAAGGGGGTGTTGGATCCCCTGAGACTGGAGATGATTGTCAGTAGCCATGTAGTAGGTGCTGGAAATGGAACCTGTTTCTACCTCTGAGCCATCTCTCCAGCCTTAAATCAAGGTATTTTAAAAATACATTGGTAGGAACATCAGGTTGGTGGTGAGTTACAGTTATGTCGGAAAACCTCTGCTATAGGCCTCAGGTGATATCTGATGGCATTCTAAGCCTTTGGTTTGTTAGGAGGTGTGTGTGTGGGGGGTCTGTTTACACATTCCAAAAGATTTACCTAATAACCACAAGGATGTTATATCACAATAAATGGCTATCAGGAAACTAAGGACAGCCCAAGATAACTTGATTCCTAGCCATTAAATTCCGGCTTTCTAGAACCACAGATGTTATCATCAGTCAGCCTTGCAGACTGTAACAGGTGCAGCTTCTTTCCCAGTTCACACAGCATAATCCAGAATGTGGAGTTCTGTATGGAAAACAGCCTGGTTTCTTCAACAAACAGCATTTATAGGGGAAAAGGGAAGCACCAGCCTGTAAACCCAGAGATATCTGACAAATGTGGAGTGTGGATGTAGGGGAGATTTGAGTTCTGACTGTATATTGGATGGTATCATGCCTTTGTCTCTAAAAAAATCCCTTTGTCAGGCGCTGAGTTTTCCTGATTTTTTTTTTTTTTTTGGTCATAGGAATGTTTTCTTGATGGAGAAAACAGCATATTTATGTATGTTTTGGTGGGAACTCCTTCTCTCAATGTGGAATAAAACTCTCAATGTGGAATAACCCCCAAATCCACCAATGGGTATTTGGTAAACAATTTATAACAGATTCAAAAATAAAATCTCATCCACTTATTTTAAAAATGAAAAAAGAAATCTCTTTGTGTCAATGGAAGTCAGTGGCAATGGTATAGCCGAAGATGGGTGCTTTTTTTTTTTTATTACTTTTATACATTCTATGATTGGGATTTGTGGCTCATGGGTCTTCTCACTTTTCCTAAGTGTTGAGTTTTCCTTTTCTTTTAAAATTGCTTTTATTGATTAATGTATTATTTGGCAATTTCATACATTTATAGAGTGTACTCTGCTTACTCTCCCCCTCACCCTCTTTTGTCTCCCTGACACCCTGTTTTCCCCTCCTCTTCCCTACAAGTCTCTTTCCCACATTCGTGCTTTTTGGTTTTGTTTTGTGAGCCGCTGATTTTAACCAGGAGTCTGTGTGAGCACAGACAGTGCTTTTGGACTATCCACTGCAGCCTGGTGGACCCACTATTGGGTACACAACTGAAGACAATGACAGTCCCTCCTTCGGAGTCCATCAGTAACCAATAACTAGCTCGGCATGGAGGGGTAGGTTCCTATGAACCTCTCCTTCATGCATTACTGACAGGTGACATGGCAGTCTTGTGCAGGCCCAGTGTAGGCAACTGTAGCTGCTGTGAGATCACTTGCCATGGCTGTGTCATGCTTGAAGACAGCATTTCATTTCAGTCCTTCTCTCCCAATCACTAGGCAGATTCGAAAGCTTGATGCAAACAGCATGAGGCTTTATTGTTGTTTAACGAGCGAACCCCATGTTAGCGCGGGTCTTTCAGCCACCCACCATGGCAGATGGCTAGCAAAGACAGCGCAAAGTATCTGCATAGAGATCTTATAGGGCAGCGTAAGGGGAGTGACTAGGGGTACACACAGGCTCAGGATTGGTGTGCCTCCAGGCTTGGAGGGTTTGCCCTGTGTTGATTGGTCAGCTGGTTGTTATGGCCCATAGGCCCTCCCAGGGTGGTTGCTATGCTCTATGTGCACTTGTTCCTACCCTCTGCATTTGTCTGTAAAGCACACCCAGAGCCGTAAAGCATAACGCCACCAGCTATCTTCTGATTGGTTCTGATTGCCATGAGGCAGGCATCTGACCTCCTAGTGACCAAGGCAAGGTCGTGGCAAGCACGTGTTACTGTCAAGGCTGAGGAAATGGGGAGCTAGTCCCTTCATAAGCACCTTGATTACTTAGTCTAACCACCTTGAGCAGCCATTTACTGCAAATCAAAGTCTAGTTATGTTAGACCCCCGGAAAACTCAAGTACCCGGGGTCCCAGGCCACGTTCTCGATCACCCCAATCATCAGGCAGATTCGAGAGCTTGCTGCAAACTGCACGAGGCTTTATTGTAATTTAACGAGCTA